GTTGTAACATTGTGTGACCTCATTCCTACGTGTCTGAATAAAACGACTGTTCACGCCCCCAGAGGTCAGAAATTTCTCTGTGCTTCACTGAGCTCACAAGCGAGGTTAAGTATCACTGAATTTCTCCTTTGCAAAGTGAACAAAAAACTTACTGGTCTCTCTGTTGTCAATTGTTTAAATGTTTGGCGGGGTTGTTTGTTTCTCTGAGTTCTAGGTTAAGAAAATACCAGACAACCTCTTAAACCCAAAGCCCTGGTTTCTACTTTAATAACTGTAGGTTCTTATATTTAAAACTACAAGCAGTTGAAAATAAAACTAAGATTAGTCAAAGTCAAACAGAGACATAATGAGTTTTTTTTTGTTAATGTTTTAATTGCATCATTGGGATTTGTATGTAGTATTCATGCTTAAATGCAGCAAAATAAATTTAATCAAAAGTAACAGATCTTGGTAATACTTTATTTATATAATGGCTTTAATTGCTGGACGTTTGGCCCCTGAGCTCCTGGCTTGCAGTAACTGAGGCCCCTGAAGCAATTTAGTTGAATAGCCCTGGTACAGTATAAACCATTTTACATGATCACAGTTTGAGATTCATGATTATGGGAGCCCTCATTAATGGAATACTAAACTAATAATGAACAAATTTTGAGTCTGTCAAGACTTTTCGCAAAAAACATCTTACCACCTCAGAAATACTTTTTATAATATTGTTGAGAGAGCTGGATTGTGGAAACTTGAGCCAAAACCTCACTCCTTCATTTCAAGTTCGCAGGTGTGTGATCCCAGTGACACCTGGGATGGACAAGCAACAAAATCTTATGTCTCATCACCCTGCCGATGAATCTTATGGCAACTTTCATCAGTAGAGACCGACATCTGATCAAGCTGCAGAAATTGAACAAAGGGCCAAATGGTGCCAGGCACTGAATCTGCTTCATGCTGCAGGACAGACGAAAGGGTTAAAGGTCACGCTGCTGCGAGCTGGAATGTAACCACCAACCCTCCTTTCTACTCCACTATCAGCCTTGCTGGAAGAACAGAGGCCAGGCCATAAATCCTATAAACTGTCACCTTCCCCCTCTGAGACCAGAACACTGATGTGCAACCAGTGAAACCTGAGTCTTTTCTCTTCACACAAAGAAAAGAGGAGGAGAATGAAACGTGTGTTTAAAATGAATATGCAAGTACAAGAGTTTATAAAAATCACAAGTAGACCCACGGGGGGCAGGAGTTCTTGGGGTATTTGATCTAATAGCAACCCTCCGTGGGGTAGTAGTGCATCTTTATCTGTAGTTTTTGATTTCTGGTTTTTCTTTTTATTATTAAAAAGCACAAAACCACACTTCTGGTTCAGGTGTCTCCTTCGGGTTTTTGGTAAGTCCGTTTCATCTGTATCATTTGCTGGTGTTATTAAAAAGGTAAAACAACGCACAGAGCTGATAACAACCTCCGGGGTGTCGAGTAACACCCCCCCGTCCGCCTTGGATGCCAGAAGCCTCGATCGAGGAGTGTTGGAGTGAAAGCAGCAAGAGGAGAAGAAAAAAGAGATGCTCAGGTGAAAGGAGGATCTTATTTTTGTTCAGGCCTCTGTAAGACTGTGCTCCTAATACAAAGGTGTGAGACAGCATTTAAATCTCAATCCAAACAGGCTGTAATAGCAAGTAAAATCCTACTGGTCTAATAGAAAATATTGGACTGGAGTCAGTAGGCGGGCTCAGCTGGTTTGTACAGCCTCAGAAAGACTGTATTATGTCAGGATAAAACTCCTGAATAATAGCTGGATTAAACTAATATTAATTAGATTTATGACAGAAGGACTCAAGCCTCCACTAGCTCAACAAATGCAATATACAATTTATATTTGGGGTTGACATGTATGCAGTTACCCTTATTTACATCCCCCCATACCATTAGAGATGAGTTTTTTTTGTTTTGTTTTGTTTTTTTTTTACTTTGTGCTGATAACAATCCAGACAGTCACTTTCCTCTTTGGCCTTTAGGACACCACGTGCATGATTTCCAAAACAATTTGAACTGAGGACTCATCAGACCACAGGACATTTTTCTACTTTGCATCTGTCCATCTCACACACGTGTGTGTGTGTGTTAGGGGTGCAACAATACATGTACCCGTAACGAACCGAACCATATCGAACAAGGATCAGTGGATCTGTGTTCGATTACTCCACCTAGGATGTATTTTTGAGCGCAGATCAACTGAGAAACAAATTTTCATAATTAATATAAATAAATTACAAGTTAAAAGGGGCATGGAAATTTCTCTTTTTTGTATCAAAAAAATATCGAACCGTGAGACTAAAGTATCGAACCGAACCGAACCGTGAATTTCCTGTATCGTTGCAGCCCTAATACATACATACATACACACATACATACATACATACATACATACATACATACATACATACATACA